TCTTTCACATTAGACGACGTTTTGGCAAATGCCAAAAAAGGACGGAAAAATTCCATGTAGTCAGCCCACTGCCATTTCTTTATGTTGCCCACTGCTTGGCCGGTCTTTGGTTTGGTAGATTTTATATATTTTGCAAATGTGTCTCTGATATTCTTCCACCTTTTTTTTACTTCATCACCTAAAAACGATTTTTTTTTATAGAATCCTTGCCACTGGTGACACCTTCTATACCATTGGGCATAGCTTTCGAGTTGGCTTTACAACAGTGAGTGCAATCGTAACCGAAGTCTGTGAAGCGATATGCAGACATATGGAACATACATATTTACCAGAACCAACAGAGAATATATGGAAAAAATGTGCTGAAGAATTTGAAAATAGATGGGGATTTCCCAATTGCATTGGCAGCGTGGACGGTAAACATGTAACAATCAAGAGACCTAACAACAGTGGCTCCAATTACTGGTGCTATTTACATAAATATTCAATAGTACTTATAGCCATTGTTGGCCCGGACTATAAATTTATATGTGTTGATATTGGTGGTTTCGGAAAAAATAGTGATGGGGGTATTTTCGAAACCTCAAACATGGGAAAACGATTTGAACAAAATTTAATGAGTGTCCCTGCACCTAGATTTCTCCCTGGGCAAAATGAAATCGGCTCGTACGTCTTAATTGGTGATGAAGCATTTGCTTTAAAACCATACCTTTGAAGACCATTTCCTTATAAGCAGACTTTAACAGACGTCAGAAAAGAGAAATACAATGTAAGACTTTGTCGAGCTAGAAGGGTCGTGGAAAATGCGTTTGGTATTTTGTCTCAAAAATGGCGAATATTTTACAGGCCATTAGAAACTAAAGTAGATACTACTATTCTAATTGTACGTACGGCATGTGTTTTACACAATTTTTTACGAAGTAAAAGTGGCGATGACAAATTCTTAGATCCCCCAGAACCCGTGCTTCGAGCTTTTACTGATATAGCAAATGATCCTCGGCGGGCAGCAAGGCTAGCATTTTCTACTCGTGACAACTTCGTAAATTATTTTAATTCTGATATGCCTATGCCCAATATATAGAATGTTCGTTTTCACATTTGTGTAGACTGTAAATTATTTAACAAGTTAATAAAAAATATTAGGTACATACCATTTGTATTTAATTCTTTTCCTATTTCGATCCAAATCTTGTCTTTCTTTCTCACATTCCTGTATTCATCGTTCGACAAATCATACAAACAAGGATACTTTTTCACTATTTCTATCAATATTTCCGTTTTTGCCATTGCGAATTTTTGAAGAACGGCGTCAAAAATCATTGTAAAAAGTCATTACGCGAAAACAGTTCGCAAATTACGCACAATTTTCTGTCGCCAAATGAGTCGACAGTTCGCCGTTTAATTACAAAATTTGCGACAAAATTCATGTTGCTGAATGTGAAAACCACTGATCGTCGCCGTCCTGGTCGGTCCGTCGAAAATATAGTCGAAGTGCGGGAAAGTGTGGCCGAGAATCCAGGCATCGTGGCCAAGAATTGAACCTTACCAGTCCCACTCTGCAACGAGTTTTGACAAACGATCTGTGCTTGCATGCGTACAAGGTTCAACTGACCCAAGAACGCAAGCCAACGGACCGAGCGCAGTGCCACGATGTGAACTCGTTGATTGGGCGCTGGAGCACCACCAAATTGATGCGGATTTCTTGAAGAGAATCATTTTCTCTGATGATGCACATTTTCAACTGAACGGGTACGTCAATAAGCAGAACTGCCGAATTTGGGGTTTTGAAAACCCCCGTGTAATAATCAAACAACCAATGCATCGGCCGCGAATTACCGTTTGGTGCGCATTGTAGAGTGGCGCAGTGATTGGACCGTATTTCTTCGAAAATGCAGCTGACATTGCGGTGCTTTAGTGGTATGCGGTATCGCGAAATGTTAACCGAGTTATTGTGGCCACAGTTGGATCGAATTGATGTGGAGCATATGTTCTTTCAACAAGCCGGTGCCACCTATCACACAGCACGCGAAACAATGGTGTTACTGCCGACCAAGTTTCCAGACTGAGTCATCTCTCGGTTTGGTGATCATAATTGGTCACCAAGATCGTACGATCTACCGCCAATGGACCTCTTCCTCTGGGGCTATGTGAAGGAAAAGGTGTATGCGAACAAGCGACAAACAGTTGAACACCTTAAAGAAGAGGTACGGAACGTTATCGACGAAATAGAGCCACACTTGTGCGAAGACGTTATCCAGAATTTTAAGAAAAGACTGACCCTGTGCCAGAGGTTTCGTGGTGGCCATTTACCGGATGTCCTATTTTATGTGTAATCGCAACTATTCCTCTTCATGTTGGAATATAAATACTCGCTTAATTCAAAAAGAATTTGTGTTTTTCTTGAAAATCAAACCCGGGGCCCTTATTGAACACCCTTTAGTGATGGTAGTACTGAGGAGGCGAAGCCTGCATTTTTTCACCCTTTATGACGACCCAAATTAAAAAAATATTACATAACTTATTGTAGCTGGTTTTGGAAATGTTCTAGGATCATACTTCCAACGGTTTGAACATTTTAGAAGCATTTAATACTTTATCAAGTTTATAGTATGTAGTATACGCTTAATTTAGATTTTTTTGTAAACATATTCCCAAATATTGGTCAATGGCTAGTCTCCGCCATTTGCATCATACTCTTTAATGTTATGCTGTGATGTTAAAGATATAATAAAGACATACAGGGTTTGTCCGGAAAGTAATAGGACTGTGTCGATTTAAAAAAAAATATTGAGCCAATCGTTACAATTCTCTAAAAACTTTCAAAATATTCTCCTTCTGTGTCGATGCAGCGCTGCCAGCGCGATTTCCAAGCATTGAAGGCGTCACGGAAGGCATTCTCCGGAATAGCCTTCAGAGCCGCGGTGCATGCTGCTTGGATCCCCTCTGTCCTCTCAAAATGCTTGCTTTTCATCGGCCTTTTCAGGCGAGGAAACAAAAAAGTCCGGGGGGGCCACATCTGGGCTGTAGGGCGGGCGCGGAAGCATTGGGATGCCGGCCTTGGTCAGGTAGCTGTTCACAAGAAAGGCGGTGTGTGCCGGGGCGTTGTGGTGGTGCAACATCCAGTTGGCTGCGATGTCTTGTCGGACCCGACTGACCCTTCGTTTGAGTCTCCTGATCACTTCCACGTAAAACTTGGCGTTGACGGGTTGTCCAGGAGGAACAAATTCATGGCGGACGATGCCTTTGATGTCAAAAAAGACAATGAGCATCGTTTTCACTTTGGATTTGCTCATTCTTTACTTTTTTTTGGGCGAGGAGACGCCGTCGTGTGCCACTCGGAAGATTGCCTCTTTCTCTCGGGATCCACGAACTCGTCACCTGTGATTACGTTATTCAACAATTGGGGGTCACTTTCACACATGTTCAAATTTTCTTGGCACACTTCCACTCGCCGCAATTTCTGGTCGTCAGTGAGCACTTTTGGGACCATCTTCGCGCACACCTTGCGCATGTTCAAATGCTGTGTCACAATGTCATGAACCACAGATTTTGGTAAATTTGACATCTCGGCGAATACTTAGTCGATGGTCTGAGTTCAAAACTTTGCGCACACGAGTCACATTATCGGTGTTTGTCGAAGTCGAAGGTCTTCCAGAACGGTCTTCATCAGCGACCTCTTCCCGGTCCTCCAAAAAGGCCTGGTGCCACCGAAACACACCACTTCTTGCTAAAGCAACACCTGGGTAAACCTGCTTGATCATATCAAACGTCTTTGTCACAGATTTACCGAGTTTCACACAGAATTTAATCGCGTACATCTGCTCTAACGAACGCTGCATTTTCGGCCTGCACCACTCACAGAAACACGTCGCGCGAAAATGCCTGTCCTGACTCTCCAAGTGTTCGGAGACAACTGATCAACTGCTCATTCGTTAGCTAGGAACGCCCTCTGTCGAACGCGCACGCTCCGAAGTACAGTCGTGGCGGAAGAAAATGAGTCCTATTACTTTCCGGACAAACCCTGTATATTATTATAATATTATCATTATTATATTTAAATCGTATTGCTGACTAGTTTTTTCAATTGTTTTGTTGAAAATTGCAGTGTAACAGATGACCATTCTCTCAAAAAGTGAAAGATTTTCTCAAGAATCACTTTATTTGAAATCTGAAATTCGAATTCCAATCTGTCTCTAGCAGGCTCATATATGTAATAGCTTTATGGCATTAAGAAGTGGGGCATACTGAACATAAGATGTATGAATTGAAGTTTTAATGCGAAAAAAATCAGTCGTTGTGCATTAAAAGAGCTTTATTTTAGAGTTCAGTGGCATTAAAGCAATACGTTTATAACAGGTAAAAGGCAGTACAAACAATTGCTTTGTCATTGTGCTCAATGTGGAATGTGTTAACTTGATTATTATGTTATAAAATTTTTTATCATCATGGCACAAATGATGCATTGGAACTTTTAAAAATAAATATCTCGAAAAGTATTAGCTTCTAATAGGTAAACCTTTTTTGCTGTAGAAATACGAGAAAATAAGCTTTTTCAGTTGTATACAGGATAGGACAAAAAAGTTATAAGTTATTTACAGACATAGTGCTGTAAGTGGCGCCTACTAGAAGTTTGGCCATAAAAAATAATGGATTCTTGTTTTTCATGCTAGCAAACCTCCATATGCCAAGTTTTATGCCAAAATCTGAACTGCTTCTCAAGCAATAAGGAAAAATAGAAAATAAAATTGTAACTTTGACACCCTGTACAACTTTTGGACTAAGGTATGCTTAGGTCAATTCACATATTTTGGTCTGTAGTATCTCCAGTTTCGAGATTTCTCAACCTTTCGCAGACACCCTGTATGTACGGTGGCTATAAGAAAATAGCTGTGTCTGTAATAAAACTATAAACTAGCCAAGTAAACACTTTAACAGTACATATACATATATTTATTAATGATTAAAATAGTATTGTTTTTTAGGAGAAGATGAACACAGAGATATTGACTTCGATCACATTTATCTAGATGAGTAAACGAAGGTGATGAATGATATCCAGAATGATAACATTGGATTGACATCATTTCATATTTTTCTGAGAATATCTTCCTCTGATTTTGAAGAGCTAATTACATTAATTGTCAGAAAAGTTGCAAAGTTAAACACACTTTGTGGAGATAAAATTTCTGGTAAAAGATCGATTAGCAATGACACATCCTTGCTACTGAGGTTAGTTACCAGGGCTTAATGTACTTATAAATTTTTCCAGCGTTTCAGAACACATTTCTATAAAAAGCAATCCTAATTTACTTATCTACTAATTTGGTACAAAATTCATATTCAGACTAGCAAGGCAAAAATAGGAAACACAATCCGATCATTTCCACTAAATATACTAGAGTTTTAAAACACGTCGAAAACTTTTGATGTGATCGCTTGCAAAAAGTTACAGTTTTGTTTTACTTGACACAATTTTGTCTATTTTTTTTTATTTTGTTTAATGCAGAATTGTGTTACCTCAACAACCGCATCATAACACACAGAAAACACTTAATTTAAAATCGACATTAAACATAAATAAAGCTGTTTTTCGAGAGGTCAGGATTAGACTGAACTGGTTCGTGCAGTGTATAATGGGTATCGAAGCGTGGGGCGTGAAAGTATAAGCGAGAGAGAGGCGGCGTGCTGCGGCGGCGGCATGACAGGCGGGCGTCGGGCGGCAAGCGTCGTCGACGTCGTCGTTAACGGCGTTGGAGTCGGTTGGCGTCAGGCGTCGCTGCTGCTGCCCGGGCTTCCTAATCTTAAATCGTGTGTGCTTTTGACACGGGCGGCGACGCCTAGCGTTGCGTTCGACGCACAGTGGCCCAAGGAGGTACACAACCTGGAAAACAATCCCCATTCATGAACTTATTAACAAAAACGCTCATTTCCATGTTTTTTTGGTGCGTTGAATCTGTTTTTCAAAGCAAGTTAGTTGAGAGGCTAAATTAGCAAATTATGAGGTTTATTTTTCTTAGAAAATGCTTCTTCTCAAGTACTAGACAATGTCGTTCTGAAAGAAAATTTGTGAATTGATTTAACTTTGTTGTAAGAATAGTTATTAAATTGAAATTATTTCATAAAAATTAAATTTCTACCTGAATATTACATGAGAACGAAAGAGGGTCGGTCCGCAGGGTTATTGCGTAAAAAACCTATATTATATCAAAAAAAAAAACGAAAAAATGTCAAGTTGATGACTAAAGTGTATTTACACCCAAGATAGAATGGATGCGTGATTGCCAAAAGCAAGGACGGCGTACAGGGACGCATTCAGGGCTACCTCCAAATGATGGACTACCACCACCGCGTTGTAAAACAAAGATGACAGTATTTAACGAAATTATCTAATATAGTGAAGTAGTTATAGTTAAGGGTGTCGCAAAATCAAATTTTTATTCTTGAGGGGTGCTGAGTTTTTCTACAGACAACATGGAGAAATTCTTACCAGAGGTAACCAGCTGCTCACTATGCACAATGAATCCGTAGTCAACGAGGGGTAGAGATGACACTTTTGTACATGGAATAAATATAAGGCTGTTCAATCAATTGAAAATAGATTTTGAAGGTGCACTTCGGCCTTGCATTGTCTGTAGTTTATCTGTAAGTTAATATTTCACTATAACTAGGATTCCCATAATATGTATTCTGTGACAAAACAGAAACGCGAAACTTACTCAGACTCACTTGAAGAGCTATCGTAATTAATGTTTATGATGATGGATTCAAAATCTCTCTCAATTATGTTGTCCAGCTCCCACATTGCTACCTCCACTTTCTCCTGAACATACTGCACACATTTTTGCCATCTTTCTGGTGTGACCCTCTGTACAGCAATTCTGAACAGCTCTTGCATGTCAGAAAATTTAAATGTTGTATTGTGTGCAGCAAACAAAATTCTTAACATCTGCCCATATGAGCTCAATGGGGTTGAACTCACAGTGGTAAGGCGGCAAACGGAGTACTGTTTTGTGGTGTGCTTTGGCCATTTCATCTATGACATATTTATCATGTATTGGTCTGTGTTGTTTCACAATATCTAATAGTTGTAATTTCAGTAAGGAAGGGTCGAAAGTTATATTTTTGGAACGGAGCCAGCTCTGAATGTCTGATTTCCTAGAAGCTGAAGTTGAGATTTTTCCTATTTTGCGAGAATGATAGGCAACATTATCCAAAACAACCACAGAATTGTCTTCGAGACGTGGTAAAATGCCTGAAAACCACTTCTCGAAAGCTTCCCCATTCATCTCTTCATGGTAGTCAGTGTTTTTTTTTGACTCAAAAGACCATAAGCCGTCATCCACGAAGGCATCTACACCCCCAATGTGGCAAATAATGAGCCTTTTTCCTTTGCCTAGAAAGATAAAATCCGCTAAGTACACATGCACGTCTTGTAGGTACGAAGATAGAGAGATATTGTGCGCAAAAATTGATACCGTGAACTACTTCGATCTATTTACTTGCTGGATTTTTCAATCCGGTCGACAGTCCATCTAGAAATGCCCTTCTGGATGAAGTCACAGTTTTGTCAACCCATACCTTCGGAATAGTGTGCCCAGAGTTAATCCAGGTTTCGTCCAGGTAATAGATCTTCCTGTGCTGATCCCTGAATGATTTAATTTTGGTCAGGTACTCTCTCCTCCACAGAACAATTTCTTCTCTATCCATAAGTAAGCTGTTACGACCTCGTTTCTTCCATTCTAAATTAAGATGCTTCAAAAGTTTATGAATAGTTGAACGTTTGAAATTTGGTAACATAGCATCCTCGTTAACCTCCCGTAGTACTTTATCAACTATTGGTATTTCGTTTCTGAAGAAGAACTCGTGCACTTTCCTCCGAATCGCATGCTTGTCAGCGTCATCCAACGATCTTATGATACTTTTGCGATTTTTACCCGTCATTGGCTTGGGAAAGGCATGCTTTTTCTTATGTTCGTGCAAAACATTGTACACTGTCGCTTGGCATACCCCAATTTTATCAGCCACTTTCAGAGCTATTTTCGGATTAGTTGATGTTTCGTCTTCCTTCCGCTCTATCTTGAATGTATTCAATATGACGTCTTTCATGTCTACGCTAAGATGTCTTTTTTTTGATCGCTTTCTAGGAGGGCTAAGGGAGTAGCCTACAGCCTCGTCAGCAGTATCTGTACTGGACATGTTCAGGATTGGTTTAAAACAAATAATAACGAGGAATAACAAAAACACACAGAAACTTAACAAATTACTCAAATACACTTAACAACAACAACAGCAACAACCAAGCAAGGTGAATACGAAAACACGAGCACGCAGTGATACACGCGACGGTCGGTGGCTTGAATGCAACTCTGCCTGCCCTGCCCCTGCCCCGCGCATTATTCCGCCAGGCGACGGCTCGAAATTTAATGGCGAATTGCCCAATAAGAGGCGTTATCCCCACCTGTTACCGAGAGATCACGCGCTAACTGATATTATTTACATCTCATCTTGAATTTTGATTCAGTTTAGCTAGCTCCTAGTGTGCAAGTAGTTAATTCTGCTCTTGTTCGCTGTGAGCGTCACCCATAGCGACACCTATGGAGGAATGACGGCATGTTCAACGACCACGCTGTTAGTTCACCAGCATGTTTTGTTGATTACAGAATAGATAGTCTGTCCACTGTAGAGTATATCTCTGAGAAGATGTGACGTCCCTGGAAAGGATATTCAAGTAGCTATTCGATAAATAAATGAAAATAAATATTCACTAACCGTACAACATATGAACAATTCTGATAAATTATTGATTACGAAAGCTGAACAATACAAAACATTCTATGTATCATAGAGAAACAATGACGGAGTACCTGATATTGGAAATAGTGGGAATAGTGCGTGAATTCTACTCGGTGTTTCTAAATAGTTGTTGTGATACCAGCAGAGTCTCGGCTAAAAGCAAATACCTACCTAGTTAGTTCAACATCGTATGGAGACTCCTACTATTATATCATTGTCATATAGCTATTCAATAAAAATATTCCGATATATTAATTAATTTGATATCTATATAATAACCATGATACTAAAATGATATCAAAAACATACTACATATAACGCGAAAGTATATTTCCTAAGAACGTTTTGATTCGAAATTAAAGTAGATAAAGTCAAATTTTAGTTTAGTCTGGTTAGATTAATGTTGCAAAAAACGGCGGTACCTGTAATAAACGTTATATATACAGGGTGTTACAGAAAGTCGTACCAATATTCGTATGGTAGAAAGTACATCCAAAAATAATAAGAATAGTCCCTGTTAATATGAGTCCAAAGACGTTCCCCAACCGAGATACAGGGTGATACAGTTTTATTTACGAAATTTAAAAAATATATACATATTATGGTATATGTATCTACGGAGCGGGTGAAGATACTGAGTTGATATCTTAGGCGTTCAATGAGCACATCATAAGCAATAAAGATACAGAGTTTTCTGGCTCAAGCCAAATCAGGGACGTACTGGGGTACCTACTTACCTTTATAGATTTCTTATTATTTTTTGGATGTAAGTTCTAGCCTAGTGGTATTGGCGTGTTTCTCTGAAACACTCTGTACATATAAATCATAAGCTTGCTCCTTCTACCTAGATAAAATTCGTTGGTCGCCACTGTCATCGGCTTTGCTGGAGACCACTAACAGATCGGGACGCCAAAGCGACGCTGTAGTCTCTGTTATTTGGAAAAGCTCTTATGACGCACACCGATCGGGAAAGAGAGTGGTTTTGCACGTTTTGTAAATATTCTTAATGCTGGGAGCCAAGCATTTAGTTTCACGCCGTAACAGAACGTATAAGCTTACAGCTAGGGATCGACTGATACCGATATTTTATATCGGCATATCGGGAATACTTGGTTATTTTGCCGATATACCGATATTTTATATCGGCATATCAGGAATACTTGGTTATTTTGCCGATATTATGTGAATGTTGAAGGCCGACCTATATCAATTATGAAATTAAAAAAGCTTAATATTATTTTATTTAAAAAGATCACAACATTGTTACTGTCTAAGTTAAACTTTCGTCATCGTATAAAAGCTTAAATTTATATATGTATGTTACTTGAAGGACTATCAAAAGATGTAACGCCAGTAGCCTGACAGTTTTGATGGTTTTTACATTATTCTAGACATATTGCAAGTCTGCCGTCGGTGTAAGCGCGAGGCAATATATAAAGGGTGTCCCAGCAGTCGACGTCAAGTCATAATAGTTGTCATAAATTAATAAAAGTGGAGTTTCTATCTGTCTTGCTGTCACTACGTAGAAAAAGAAAGAAAAAATTGTAATTTGTACTAATGGGAACTAAAACATCATAACAGATTTTTCCGATTTCTTTTAAACCCTGTACTTTGACTATTTTTTATATTTTGACTTGACGTAGACTACTCGGATTGCGTGTGAGATTTGAGTAAGTTTGATCTACTGCGATCTTTTACTACGCATCTTTGATTTACTACTTATATATTGAACATTGTTATTTGAAGTTATCGAAAAATATCATTGCATAGAATTACTCATGACTAAAGTTTACAATAGTTTGACTTTGACTCCCTTTATGACAATATAAAATTATTTCAAATAATAAAAATATTTACCACCAACAAATGTTTATTGGTCAACAGTAAACAACAACAATGTACTTTAAGTAATAACTTGCGTCAGAAATAACTTTTATTGTGATAATTAAGTATTTGACTGCTACTTATTTTTACCTGACTGTCTCAGAAGGAGGTTTATGTTATTTGCGCGTGGATATGTATGTATATATGTAGATAAAAAAATTCGATTTCACAGGTTACAAAGAAATACGCTTGATGGGTTTTGACATTATATGAGGTGTTGTTAGATTCGTCTTAGCAGTGCGAGTATTACTGGCTAGAGATGTCTCTAGATTTGTCTTGACAGTACGAGTGACAATATGTATTTTGAAATTTTGTGAAATCAATTTAAATCGAAACTTTCAACTGTGAAATGCTTATTCCACAGACTATACAGCTTAAACGGCTTAACGGATTTTGACATATTTATCTTGACACTGGGCGTGCTAAAATTTTATAAAACCAAAGTGGTAGATTTCAAACGCAACCTCAAATTTGAAATTTTCATTTTTCTACGTAAAAAAACGTATAAAATGCCAATTTGTTGACTAAGTACGGTAGTGTGCAAATAGTTCATTCCGCGCTTGCTACAAGTGAGCATGACGTGAGCACACACGTATTATTAGCACTCAAGTCCTCACTATGCACCTGTGCACTGCCGTTTCCTTCTGGCTATAGTTTACAACTTACAGCGTAGACCTGTAATAACGCATCTCTGAATCAAATTTCAAATCACATCAGAGCCAAATATTGATAACTGAAGCAACATAACGTGTAGGCAACACGTACAACTACAAACGAGTTCACTACAAATGTCCATCAGCTAGTGCTAAGTTAACATCTTGTAAGAAAACCTACATAATATCACAAAAAACCAATAAAATTGTCAAAAAACATCGACATAAAGTCAATTTTCAATATACGTAATACCCGTGCCGAACGGCCTGATGGATTTTGACATTTGAGGTGTGATTAGATTCGTCTTGATCGCACAATTAAATCTTTTCAGTTACTGCAGTTAGGTTGTTTGTATTTGACAAAAATGTATTTGTTCACAGGAACTATTCTTCTGTGATTTGCATAACGTGTCGTAAGGGTTTTCACCAGAGCCACAACATGAATTTAGCGATGTGGATTTTTACAGTTACGACAACTCGTTGCCAGCTGTTTTTCCCTCAATGAGCTAGGGATCGGCAGGGTATCACGTATCTTGAAAAGTGACATTGTCTTTTTTTATATTTATAGGTATTTTGCGACAGTATGTAGGTTTTCCAATGTCAACTTCTATGTCAACTTTGTACTAGCTGTTATTTATTTGATGTGCACTGTTGTGTAGCTGCACGTGTTGCCTAAATCTCATGATGCTCGAGCTGTCATGGTTTGGCTCTGATGTGATCTGCTTCATTATTGGAAATCTAAGATGTAAGTTGTATACCAATCCTGGAAGGAAATAGACGAAACGGTAGTGGATACGTGCTTAGTGAAGATTTTTGTGCTTATAATCTGTGTTCATGATCATTTCCTTGGTCTCATAAAAGCTTACTTGAGATGAAATTTATTTTGTGATTTCAAGTAGAAAATAGATGTGAGGCACTGCGAAAATGTTTTGTGAGTGATGCGTCAACGCAGGCACGGTGGTGATTTCTCGTAATGCTTCTCAAAGTTCTTGAAAACGCAAAAAAACCGGGAAAAATCATAATTCAAACGCATAAATAGCCTGTCTGGCATAGCTACGAGATTCATGGGCAGCATATACAGTAATAATTTTCTCACATAGTAAATATCACTGATTTTATACACATGCACACACAGTCATCCAGATGCGATCTGGCTACTCTGCTACTCAACCAATTTTCTTTCTGTGTCATCTTCTCAGAGATATACTCCACAGACCATCTCGGCATTCTGCAACCAACAAAGCATGATGACGAATTGACTTGAAGCATAGTCGTTGAGCATGCCGTTAGTCATACCTTTATAGGTGACCTTATTGGTGACGCTTACAGACAGCAAACGCTAACATTTCCGCACTAGCTAGTCAGCAAGTTGACATTTTGTCGTTTTTTTTTACAGTATATAGGTTTTTTTACGTAATAACCTTGCGGGTTATGTGTTTATGTATTCCTGAATAGATCATAGACACGCGTCAATACGTGACCTGCGGCTCTATGGGTAATGTGGCAGTACCCGGCGTTACCATCGTGTCGGCTGTCGCCGGGCGTTGCCGCTATCGCCGCCGCAATTTAACCTTGTTCACATGGATATCGGCGGCACGCGCACATCCTGGACGCCAGCTCGCGCCAGGACGCGTTCCAATGGCGGGTGTCAGACTAATAACGGGTGATTTTTTAAGAGGTATAGGATTTGATTTAAAAAAAAAACAAAAATTTGAAAAAAAAATAAATCTTTATTTGAGTCGATAGAACGGTCGATATAATTTAATGTTTAAAGATCATTTCATGTAAATATTGGCCGCGGCTCCGCTTTAGATGGCCCATGCGCAAGGTCCAATTTTGGCACACTCTCTCCAACATATCGGCCGGTATCTCACGAATAAATGCTTCAATATTGGCTTCCAGTGCGTCAATCGTTGCTGGTTTATCCCTAGACATTAACCTTAACATGGCCCCACAAGAAATAGTCTAACGGCGTTAAATCACACGATCTAGGCGGCCAATTGACGGACCCCAAACGTTAGATAAACTGTTCACCGAACTCGCCTCTCAATAGGGCCATTGTTTCGTGTGCGGTGTGGCATGTGGCACCGTCTTGTTGAAACCACATGTCAGCCAAGTCCAGCTCTTCCATTTTGGGCAAAAAAAGTTTGTTATCATCGCACGGTAGCGCTCGCCATTCACAGTTACGTTCCGGCCATTATCGTCTTTGAAGAAGTACGGCCCGATGATGCCATCGGCCCATAATCCACACCAAACAGTGATTTTTTCGGGATGCATTGGTAGCTCTTGCAATGCTTCTGGCTGGTCTTGACTCCAGATGCGGCAATTTTGCTTGTTAACGTACCCATTCAACCAGAAATGAGCTTCGTCGCTGAACACAATTTTTCGATAAAAATGTGGATCTTCCTCCAACTTTACCAGCGCCCCTTCAGCAAATGGGCAACGTTGTGGGAGGTCGTGTGACTTCAATTCTTGCACCAGCTGTATCTTATAAGGTTTTACACCCAAATCCTGTCGCAAAATTTTCCACGTAGTGGAGTAACAGAGGCCCAATTGCTGCGAACGGCAGCGAATCGACATTTCGCGGTCATCACTAACACTGGCGGATACAGCCGCAATATTTTCTTCAGTCCTCACTCTACGTCTGCGTGTTGGTGGTTTAATGTCCAATAATGTAAACTGAGTTCGAAATTTAGTCACAAGCTTCCGAATAGCTCCCTCAGTAGGCCGACCAAATTGCCCATAAATTGGAAGCAGTGCTCGATGCACTATCTTAACCGAGCATGAATTTTGATAGTAAAATTCAATAATTTGCAAGCGTTGTTCGTTCGTAAGTCGATTCATGGTTAAATTATAGACCAAACTGAACAAGTTTGACAATGACACAAGACACGATTCACGCGTCATCTGTCAAAAACAGTGTTGCCAAAAAGATACTAGCAAAAAAAGAGAGTAACTAAACATGGAATATCATTTTGTTTTAGTCCTATAAAAAGATAACTACATAGAAACGAATGCAGCTTAATGTTATTACAAGTAAATCATATTTTTTACGTAGTAATTAACAGCCTTTTATAAAATGTATTAATTCAAATATTCTTTTATACGTGGGCTTAATGTTGATGATTAACTTTTTGGTTATTGTGTTGAGAGAAAATCTTATTTCGGCCCTCAAAGTTTCTCTTTATGTCAAAGTGTGTATTTTTCATCAGCTTTTCAGTGACCAGCATCTTAATTACGATTGTTAAAAAAAACAACGGACTTATTCACAGACTATTCTACTTGTTTATAAGGTTGCTTTTTTTACGACGCTTTTTTTACATGGTTAGTAGACATTTTACTTCCCACACCACTGCCCAGAAAGTATTGCATTCGCGAGAAATTTCAAAAATATGTTTTTTGGATCTCATATGGCATGTACGTCACGAAAGCTCATGTCACTCATTTCGGTGTCTGAGGAGTCCAAAACTTGGAAAGACGGTTTCTGATGAAATTTTCACTCAAGATAACTACTCGTACTATCCTAAAGGCAAAAATTCTTGTATTTTTTTAAAATTGCTACAGTGGCAAAACGAAAAAATATTTTTTTTCCAGAAAAATGTTTGTAGGTATTTAAAATTGGAGTTTCGCGGTTATGTGGTGTGGGAGAGGGTATATCTCTTCTTTTTTACTTTAGTACATTCATACCCTTCCACACCCGGCGATTCTATTTCTACGCACCTGTAAGACATATTTCACACATCATCGATTTTCCCATACATGTTCCCTTAAAACTGAGAATACTAGAAGAATGTTGCCAATACACGCGTGTCTGGATATATCTGAGTCGCCATCTGATAGATTGATGACTGTGTTCCGTTACGGCAAGTCTGGAAAAAAGTCTGATTGTCTATATCTACGCCACGCCACACGCAGCCAGCAGATTACACAAAGGTTGCGCGGAAGGTGGGGTGCGGGCCGCTACGCCGTGCCGCTGCGGTATGCGGCGGACGACGACGCCAACGACGGCACGAGCGACGCCCGCCGTCACGCCATTATACGCCGCGACGCCTAATTTATATCTGGAGGGTGAAATAATTACCGGCACACGGCACTGGAACGCGGACAGGCGGCTTCCACTCGAATGGATCATATTCCGTGCTGTCATTTATTGAAGGACAATGGGTCACGTGCACGTAAAAGATGTGCAGGATAAATAAACATATCGATTTCCATATACCTGTATTGGGTGTGATTGGTCTTCCCAGTTTTATTTTAGACAAGCTGACGTCGAGTCCAGAAACAAAAATAACGAAGCGGTTCGCAATGCCAAAAACCAGCGCGATATAAAAGTTAGACACATGGTAATGTCGCAGCGCAATGGCCAAGCAGATTGAAAGGACTTCTCACACAGTAGCCTTCCACCACTTACGTGTCAGGATGGAACTACGAGTATTGTAAACGACTCTAAGGCCAAGGCGGAGGTGCTAGCCAAGATCTTCGCTACCAACTCCACCATGGACGTCCCCCCCAACGCCCAAGTGCCGTCAATTGAAAGGGTTCCCTACACTATGCGGGAGGTAAAATTCAGGCCTAAGACCGTAAGACGAGTGCTCTTGTCGCTCAACATCAACAAAGCTTCTGGTCCGGACTTAATTCCTGCCATTGTACTGAAGAGGTGTGCAGCGAAGCTTGCTCCAGTTCTTTCGCGTCTCTTCCAGATATCATGAATCCGGCACCTTCTCAGAAAACTGGAAATTTGCTTATGTCCAACCCAGCAAAAAAAGGATCTAAGACCGGCCCTTACAACTACAGGCCTATAGCTCTGCTTTCTGTGATAAGTAAGGTAATGGAGAGGTGCATACATCGCGAGCCTCTGTACTACCTCGAACGTCACAGCTTGATTAGCGACAGGCAGTATGGTTTACGGCATCAACGATCCACAGGGGACCTCCTAGCTTACGTCACGCAATTATGGAGTAAACTCATCCAGTTTATGGTGAGAGTCATGTCGTTGCTTTTCACATAACGAAAGCGTTCGATCAGCTGTGGCACGCTGCCCTCTTAAGCAAACTTCCATCCCATGGCCTTCCAGAAAAGCTTTGCAGCTGTGTGGCTGACTTTATCTTTGGCCGCAAGATATCCTTTGTAATTGACTGGTTCTCCCCTTCATCCCACAACGTCAACGCGGGTGTTCCCCAGGGACCGGTCTTTTCTCCAACATCCAGAAGTGGCCGATACGACTGCTCCTTTGTCCCGAGGGTGTCGAGATTGTGGAACAATCTACAAGAGGAAGCTTTTCCCGATTCTACTAACCTTAGGCAGTTCAAAAATCGTATTAACAAAATTTCTTTGGGATCACCATAGCAGCCGCGGTGTTCCGGCATTTAGGCTTCTGCCTGCGCGGCTGCTTCGATATAAAAAAAAGTTCATTTTCTATAGTAATATCCATACTCTATTACTAACGTTAGTAAAAAGTGATTTATACATATGTGGTTTCACTAGACCTAAAAATCATGGAATTTTGTTGGCAGGAATATTTCAGGATAAGATTCGTATGTTACATTAATTGCATAAATGTTTTTATTTTAACGAATTT